GTAGGACTTGGAGCTTCCCTCTCCTGACCTGTCAGAGGTTGCTGCCTGCCCTTCCCCAGCCTGCTGCTGTCCCTCTGGATGGCAGCGTGGCCCTCTGGTGTACCACAACCATCATCTCCTTCTACTTGAGATGCATTCAGCCTGGGAAGGAGCCCAAACCCATTCTCTTCTGTCCTTGTTTTGGGCACTAAAAGGGCAATGGGATTCCTACACCAAAGTGAAGATGCTTTGGTTTTGCCAAGACACCTTCCTGAGCCATCGAGGACACTTAAACAAGGTGATTTGTTGTGTTTTTTTTTTTTTTTCTTCTATTTTTTAGTAAAACGACCTGCCACATACCAAACAAACCCCCTAGTTCTGAGCAAAGCCAGCTTCAGAGCATGGTGAGGAAAGAAACTCTTCCCCAAACAGCTGAGCCAAGGAGGTGAGGAAAGGCTTCGTGCACAAGCTGTGCAGCAGCACAGGTTGTCTGCAGGCTCACGGGGGCTGGAGGAGGACAGGAGGAGTCCCACGGATGAGCTGCTTGTGATCTGTTCACGGGCAGGTGGAAATCAGAGGGAAATCTTTGATCCAGGACCGTGTCCAGAGACAGGACCGGACAAACGGCTTGTGGGGGAGGCTGGTGGGACCCCATGGCAGCACTGACGTGTTGGCCACAAAGAGCTCTGCCCTGCAACTGGGTGAGGCTCCTCAGGCAGCTCAGGATCCTCAGAAACAGCAAAAATCAGAAGGGCTGGCATGTGACAAAGCACCTCCTGGCAGATGGCACTGCAGGTCTGAAACCTGCTCTTAGCCTTCTTCTCCCAGACTAAGGCTCAGGGAGGGAGCAGTGGGGTCTGCCCACCTCCAGCTCCTCACTGGGGACTTCTTGTCCCCCGTCTGCTCAGCCAGCAGGGAAACATCACGTCCCCTGGAGCTGCCCGTGCTCCTGAAAGCCCCTTCAGAAGCTCCATGCAGAGCAGCTGGCTTTCGAAAAGGCTTCGATGCCTCCCCAAATCCTTTCCCCAGACGGTGTTTGGGGCCGCAGGTCCCTCTGCCAAGGCGCAGCCCCTCGGAGCTGTCACAGCACCGTGCCGTGCAGGCACGCTGCCCGCGGTCAGCAGCCGTCCCCCAGCTCCCTCCCTCCGCCTGGAGCTCTGTTTGGTTGTTATTTTCATCCCTCCACGGGGCTTGCCCGTGTTTCTCCCGCTTCGCCCTCCTCCTCCATCCCTGTCCTGCTCTTCACTTATTGGTCACAGCGGCTGCGTTCGGGGGGAGCCCTGCGATCTTCTATATAACCAAGTGCTCTGTTTGGAGAGACCTCAGCAAGTCACGAGAGGGAAGAAACTTCCCCCCCTCCACCCCCCTGAAGCACCAGCCCACAACGCAAAAGCAAACTGCGGGATCTACAGCTCTGCCGTCCGTCCTCCTGGGACCTGCAGGACATGGCAAGGGGCCGTGAGAGGGAGAGAAACTGATCCCGAGAGCACCCAAAGCTCGTGGCCTGGAGGAAGGTAACCTAACGCTGATGAAAAGATTTGCTGTGCCGTGCACTGATTCGCAAACAAAACGATTTCCTGCAGCTGGGTGAGTTTTCACACGTTTCTTGGTGGGACCCGAGCAAGGTCTAACAGGTGGTGCAGGGGCTGGAGAAGAACATCCTACCCGGCACGCCTCTGGGCAAAAATCAGCCAGTTTTGGGACCACGGTGGGTCCATGTCAGGGAAGCAGCTGGGGATGTGGTGCTCATATCTGCCTCTCCCCCCCCCCTTCCCACCCATTGCACTTTTGCTGCAAGAGACGTTTATTTGCAGAAAAGAAGAGCCTCAGCTGGGCAGGTGGGATGGGGATGTCGGGCGCAGAGTCACCTCCCTGGAGGATCAGAAACACGAGGATTTGGGATCAAGTGATGCTGACTTTGGTTTCACATCTGCTGGGCACCCAGCAAGCCTCTTGGCCCTTTTGTGCCTCAGTTTCCCCCACAAATGAGAAAAGGTTGTGCTTGCAAGCACGCTGAGATGAGGGAGGGGAGAGGCAACTCGGAGGACAAGAAGTCTGCGGGCTGTTGAGCAGGAGAAAACAATGCTCCCCTTTTACTAAATTGTTGTATTTTAAGGCAAGAATGGGGAGAAGCCCTTTTTTTTTATTTTTTTTTGGCGCTGTGGAAGGGATGGGCAGGATCCAGCGAGCTGTGTCCTGTGATCCTTACTCACATGAGCTCTCCTGCCAAACACCCGGGGGCTGAACAGCACCAGGCTCCGCAGCCCTTCGCCAGGGGGAGCAGAGAGGAGCAGCCCGCTGCTGCAGAGGGCACGGGACACCAGAGCTTCCCAAGGATGCTCTGGTACCTACGCAGGTGCTGAGGTAAATATCAGGAAGGTGGTGCCGGAGAAGCTTCTCCAGGAGGGGCTGGGGGCTCCCCAGCTTTTGGATTATTTTGTGCTTAGGAGCAGCAGGACACACCTGCAGGCATCCCTTGGGGTTGGGATACCCACATAAACTGGGTGTTTATAGGACAAGTGGGGGTCCTGTAAGATATTCCCCACCATCACGTGAAGACACTTCTAAATGCTCTTGAAGGCATTGAAAACTTCTTTTTTTTTTTTCCCTCAGCCAGAGGCAGGCAAATAACTTTGTAGAGGCTGTTCTGGCTCACACCAACGTGGCTTATCTGCCAGATAAGTTTGCAAAGCTGCTTTAGCCTGCGGAGATGAAAGGTACGGTGAACACACAAGATTGCTGTGCACCAGGCATGAATATTTTAGCGCGGGGAAGCATGCTGATGGTGAGCTGAAAAGAAAAGCGATGGGGTCTTTAACTTTCCTGTGGTGAAACCATATCCAAGGTGCCATCACAACACAGGGGTTCAAACTAGAAAGAAAACCTCTTCAAAATGTGGCTGCTTTAACAGAACTGAGAGCTAAGCTGTCTAGTTGGTGAGGTCTGAACTGTGGCTGAAGGGATTTGGTTATTTTATTTCCTACGTTTGATGTGTAACTGGGAATAATTTGCAAGTTTCCTCCCGACACTGCTCATTTACAGTGGCACGCACTAAGGACCTGGCCGAAGGACGTACGGGGGTCGGCGAGAACCGAGCCTGATTTAGATTTTCTGGCAGGAGCGGTGGGGTGAAACCGAGAAAAGGGTAGGTCAGGTTAGGCTGGTTCCTTGGGAAAGAGGCCAACTTCACGTTGATCACGCTTGGAGACTTCCAAACAAGCAGAAAGGTGCACGTGCTCCTACAAAGCCTGGGGGGAAGCCCTAAAAGGTTCCCATTTTCAGTCCAGGCATAGCAATTTTTCCTCCCTTCGAAGCTGCAGTTTCGTAGCTTGAGCGATGTGTTCTTCACCCACTCCTACCAGCAGAGCCAAGATCTGCCCAGGTGGCACAGCTTGGCAGGGTGCTGGCACCTTCCCCTCCCTCCCTGGGCTCATTTCCCACCAGAGGCCATATCTGGATCATCCAGAAGCCCCTTCCCCAAATCCACATCGTGTCAGGATGGTGCTACAGCGTCCTCAGCTGTCTCATCAGCCACTCGTGGCCGCGGAGCTGCCGCTGGGCCAGTCCTGCCTGAGAGCATTGCCTGAGATTTGCAAAGCAGAGCCTGCTCGGGTGATATTTATTAGCAGTGCTCCAGCCTTGGTCAGCCTGAGAGACCTTTTACTGCGCTCAGCAGCCAACGCCACAGCCAACACAGAGAGATTTATGTCCCCCGGTATGGAGCTGAACAGCGTGGTGGATTTGGAAAGGAAGCAGTTCAATTAACAGCGATAAGGATGGGGAAGGAGGGGCCGCTCTACTAGCACATAAATCCGAATAAGATGTCAGGTATCAATACAGCATTTCTGGAAAAACCCTCGTGGCATTTTCCCAGCACGTTTCCCAGCAAGACCGCGCTGAGGGTTGTCTCTTTGCGCTGAGCGATGCCGCATGGGCTCTGCTGACGTTAGCACTGCTCCAGTTTTCCCATGGCACGAACTGGAAGAAAAGCTCCCTTGGTTCCATGGACCCAGAGATGGGGTTTGCAGAATTACCTTGATTCGTTGGTGGGGCAGGTGCCTCAAAACTGCTGCTTGTGCTCCACTGGCTGCAGGTGACCGGAGCGCAGGCCACCACCGCCTGCTTGCAGCCAGAAGAAACCCTCTCCAGCACCTTCTTGAGCACTACCAGGCCACCTTCTCCTCTAACCCATTTTCCCCCTTGTCCCTTTCTCCACCCACAGATCCAGACCCAAGCAAAGACGCCCCATGAGCATCCCAAGGGCTCCCAGGGCCAGCTTTGCCGCTCAGTCCTCCATGGCGAGCACCCCAGCGCCCACCACCCTCGCCATTCTCCTGACCTGCCTCTTCTCCGGGGCACGCAGCCAGACCCCGGGGGTTTACCCGGAGAGCACCGTCCCCTTCGAGGTGCTCAGCCAGGAGCAGGCGTACAGCCTGCTCCAGCCAAGCCTGCTGCAGGACGCCAGGCTGCCCAACCTCTCCGAGAGCCTCCCCCGGAGCGGCGGCTCCGAGCCACCCCTGCTGCCCGTGTGCGTGAAGCCCGCGGATATCAGGCACATCTTCAAGTACATCAACACCATCGTGTCCTGCACCATCTTCATAGTGGGGATCATCGGCAACTCCACGCTCCTCCGGATCATTTATAAGAATAAGTGCATGAGGAACGGGCCCAACGTCCTCATCGCTAGCCTGGCGCTTCGGAGACCTCCTCTACATCCTCATTGCTCTGCCCATCAACGTGTACAAGGTGGGTTTCGTGCGGCAGGAACAGCGTCTGCTCCCACCTGCCTCAGTGCCCTGGGGAATATCTATCTTCCGCTCTTTATTTCAGGCTCCAGTTTGGGCAGGAAAGGGGGAGGGAGATCCTGCTCTCCAAAGGAAAAGGAAAACATGAGCTGACGCAGTATGTTCCTGGGAAAGCAGAGGTGTTCCCACCTACTGCTGTGTTTTCCACACACACACCCATCCAGATCTTTTAAATCTCACTTAACATGTCAAGAAAAGAGCCACTTGCAGTCTCCCGACATTACAACCCAAAGTTTATTTCAGTCGAGCAAAACCCGCTGTTCTCGTGCGCTAGGCACACCACTCCCAGCACAGCTCACAAACCAGCCTCAGGCAAACATCTGCTTTATTCCAGCTAAGCAGAAAGACTCACCCAGGAACAAGGAACAGGGCTGTCCTACAAAACAGGGGGCTTCTTTCAGACATTGCTCCCCACGCTAGAGGGAAGAGATGTGACGAAGAAGCAGAGGAACCCGAGCTCTGCCCGCTGCAGTGGGGCAGAGAGGGGTGGGCATAGGTGGGCTGCGGGGCTCAGACCCCCGTTAGGAGCAGAAGTCGTGTGGTGCGAGATGTGCTGGGGCTTGTGCGGCTCCTTCTCGCCTACCATGTTAAATTTTGGTGGGTCGGGTCTTGGAGGGATGCCATGGGGTGAAGGACGTGGATCTCAGCTTGATTTATACAGCTGGCTTTACACAATATGTTGGATACAGAGCTGTTATATAGCTGATTTATTCAACAGGACTGGCAGTAAAGTCTAATGGTCCTCCCCTTTCGGATCTGTTTGCCATATTTCATAAGCCTGTGCTGTAGGAAGGTCCTGTGCTTCATAAAAAGGTGTGGGAGCAGATGGAGGCTGCAGGAATGACCCCCCTGAGGAAGGTGTCACAGGCTGAATACCCAGCCCTGCATCCAAGACAGGCAAGAACCGGGGGGCACAGCTCTTCATGCTCATGGCTTATACCGGAGGCTTCACCTATGGGATGGTTCATGTTAACGCGAGCTCTTGGCTTTACCTTTCTTTCCTTTGGTCTCAAGCAACCAAACATCATTAGTTTCAAATAATACTGCACAAAAGTTTGGAGGAGGGTTTGCACAAAGGCATGGCAGAAGGGCAGAGCACGGTGAGGACATGAGCCTACATGGCTCTGAAACAAGCTCTCCTTGTTGGACTCTGGCTGCTCGGAGCACGACACCCCCCAAAAGCGACCCAAAGCCCATTGTGGTTTTTCGGATTCCAGTCCACCCAAAAACACCCAGGGTGTGGGTTCAGGACCTGTTGCCTGGACCATCCCTCCACGTAGGTGTCAACCACGAGCCCCTGGGGAAAGGAGTGGTTCCCAGCACCACGCAAAGCACCGGGAGCGCACACCGCACAGCCCCGGTGGAGGTAACCTCAGAGTGCTTTCAGCTGCTCCTTGTGGGCTTCTTGCACCTTGTGGGCAACCACCTGCCATTACGGGAAGCCGGAGGCACTTTCCCTGTTAACCCTGTGGTTCTTCTCCAGCTCTTGGCCAAGGATTGGCCTTTCGGTGTGCAGGTGTGCAAGCTGGTCCCCTTCATCCAGAAGGCATCGGTGGGCATCACGGTGCTCAGCCTTTGTGCTCTCAGCATCGACAGGTGAGAAACAACTCCTACAGATGCCTTGCCTATCCTGTATTTATAAATAGCCCGTATTTATAGGATATATAAATATATCCTATATTTAACCACAGCATAACCCCCTCTGTTGTCACCGATGGGTTGGTTCTGGGCCAAATTCAGAGAAGGGAATAGGGTGTTGTCACATGGGGCTGAAATCCATCAGGAACTGACTCCTCCCTGTGGGGATGAAGTGTAAATCATGCTGGAAAAGCTTGAGAGGAGGAGGACAACACGTGAGAATAGCTGCCAGGGTGGTGGGGAAGGGTGGCACCCCTCCCACCGGGAGGTGGCCACATATCGGCCAAGGAGCTCTGCCCTCACACTCCTCCCCTGAGCCCCTGCTCCTGATCCTCCCCATTCCACAGAAAGATAAAGCTCAAGGGTGGTGGAAGAAGGGGCAAGGAAAGGGGACAACTCTAACACACACCTTCCAGGCCCCTTTCCTGTTGGTGGCTCTTCTCACTCCTCTCTGCTCCTGTTGTGTCCCCACGCGTTGAGCAGGTACCGAGCAGTGGCCTCCTGGAGTCGGATCCAGGGGATAGGGATCCCCATGTGGAAGGCAGTGGAGGTGACGCTGATCTGGGCAGTGGCCATCGTGCTGGCAGTCCCCGAAGCCATAGCCTTTGACATGGTAGAGCTCAACTACTGGGACCGAGACCTGTGGGTGTGCATGCTCGCCTCCGAGCAGAAATCCAGCTTCATGATGGTACGTACGCTGCCCCATCCCGGCTGCAGCACGAGGGAGGCATGGGCAAATGGGGCACCCTCCCTCCTCGATGAGAGGTTGGATGCTTCTGCAGATGGCTTCCAGGCATCGGGGTGAATTTGGGGAGAGCAGCATTAGGCAAAGCACAGAAGACTCAGAAAGTACTAACGGGGTAGAGTTGCTTTGAATGTGGGGCCAGAAAATAGGCAGAAGGTCCTGAAGCTGTGTTGTGTCCTCATTGCCCACGCCAGGTCATGACCCATCTCAAGAAACCTCAAAAAGATGCTAGGCTGTCACGACAGGCCAAGGAGCATCTCTACAACCAGGCTGCACAGGGCCAGCTAAGGGGAAGGAAGGGGACGAAGACACTTACAAAGCATCAGAATTTACCCTCCCAACCCCATATCTGCCAAAATACGCTCCTTGAAACTGGTTCTTGTACAAAAGTGCTAGACCAGCAGCCAGATGTAAAAAAGCCTTCACTTCTTCAGGTTAAAAATGAACCAGCCTCAGGGCAAGATTACCCCAGGTGTACTTAGGCTGGGGCAGTTACACTTTCACCCATCTGAGGTGTCGGAGTGGTCTGATGGGGGCAGTATCAACGTCAGGGACCGATGCCCCATTACCCCCTTCTCCCAGTTTTTGTTCCTCTCTGCTTTGCACGCAGTTCTATCGTGACGTGAAGGACTGGTGGCTTTTCGGCTTCTATTTCTGCCTGCCCCTGGTATGCACCGGCATCTTCTACACCCTCATGTCGTGTGAAATGTTGAGCAAGAGAAACGGCATGAGAATCGCTCTGAATGACCACATGAAACGGGTAAGGAAGCCAGGAGGGCAGAAACCCCAATATTTCCCCAAACGAGAGGTAGTGTTGTAGAAGAGGAGAACAATCTTCCTGTAGAGGACACGAATGAGCTAACGTAGCCTCACAGCGGTCAATGACTTCTTGACCCATCAATGCATGGATTCAACCAGGGAGAGGAGCCCTCAGCTCCAGTTCCCCACCTCAGTGCCAACACAAGCCACCAGCACCGTGGCCATGGACCAGCTTGCTTTTCAATGCCTATGGCCATTTATTTCTGGCCTTGCTGTAGCTTTCCCTTCCCTCCCATGCTTTGCTGAGGAGCTGGTTGTCTCAATAACCTAGCGTGAAGAGCGGACAGATGAGGGTCCGTGCTCCAGGGACTAGCAAAGCGCCCAGGAGTGATGGTAGGATGGGGTGAAGGAGACCCTATCCTGATCTATCTCGTGCTACTGGTACCTCACTGCTTTCTGCAGCCTGGATCTCATGAGTCGTCCTCCTGAAGCAGGAGCTGGGAGTGTGCTTTGGACTCAGAGGGGTGCCCAGCCCTGCTTGGGTTGTAGAAGTAACTCGAAGGGCCCTTGCTCAGCACGGGGAGATGGTGCTTGGCCCCGGCCACTCTCCAGTGCTCAGCCAGAGCATCCCTTCTCCCCTGCCCACCTTCTCCTCGCAGCGCCGGGAGGTGGCCAAGACCGTGTTCTGCCTGGTGGTGATCTTCGCGCTCTGCTGGCTGCCGCTCCACCTCAGCCACATCCTCAAGAAGACCATCTACGACCAGACGGACCCCAACAGATGCGAACTGCTCAGGTAGGGGCCCCAGCCGATGTTCCGCTGGTGGAGCTGCCTTCCAAAAAAACTTTCAGGCTGCTTTTCTGGATGGTGTCGCCACCCCAGAAAGGCACAGAGAAAGGAGGTGGGGGGCCTCAGGAAAAGAGGAAATTCAATTCTGAAACGTCTCTGTAAAGCTTATGGGTTAAAGAGGTCTCCCAGGCAGAGAAATGTTCTCAGCAGGGCCAAAAGGACTGTAGCACACTTTCCGCTACGTGGCAGGTGCCCATCTTCCCCTCTCCTCCCTGCCCACCACCCCGAATCCAGCTCAGGACAGACCCTGCTCCTGTGCTTGAATGTGGGAGCATCAAAGCCATGGGGAGAAATCAGATCTCCTGCTCTTAGGTTCCTCAGGAAATGCTCCTCACAGGAAAAATTTTTGTGCCACTGCTGAACCCCAGGAGGGATGGTTTTGTGCTCTTCTGTCTGGTATCTGTCACCGGTCCCCCCATGGAAGCAGGTTCCCAGGCCAGGGAGCTTGGAAACCCTCCTTCAGGGGTCCCCTCGGCGAGCTCCCAGCCCCTTCTCTCCCCTCTTGTCTCAGTTTCCTCCTCGTGATGGATTATTTCGGGATCAACATGGCCTCCCTCAACTCCTGCATCAACCCCGTGGCTCTCTACTTCGTCAGCCGGAAATTCAAGAACTGCTTCCAGGTAGGGCTGGCTCCCGGAGCCCCTGGCTGTGCTCATTTTGGCTGCAATTTCATGCACGGTGCGTGCCCAGACACCGGCCCCAAGGCCACCAGCTCCCCCAGACCAGGCACTCCCATCACTGTGGGCTTCTGGGCATCCTAGATGGGGGAAAAGGCAGACATCAGGCACATGCTGGGGCTGCCAGCAGCTCACAGCATTCCCTTTTTAACTCATTGTATTTTTCCTCCCGAATTTTCACGCTGCTGGGTGCCTCTCTTCCCAGCTCCAAGCACGCCAGAGCTTCCTGCCCTCCTCCAGTGGGGCTTTTGCCAGTGCAAGATCAGAGAAGACTGCTATTGTGGGTCAGAAACATCCCCACACGCCTTTAAACCAGGACTGGGGCTGCTCTAAACTTTTGAGCCCAAATTGCTCGGAGAAAAATCTCAGGAGGGGAGGCTGGAGAAAGGAAGGGGGTGGGATGGGAATCACCTCCCAGTGGCTGTGGCAAGGGGCTGAGCCCAGGCAAGCATCAGCCCTATTTGCTGATGAGAAAGCACAGCAAAAGTGCCCAGTATTTTGCTGGCTTCATTTCCAAGGCTCACCAGCCCTGTCTCAACACACCCGACCTGCAGGAGAGCCGCGCTCACCGTGCCTGTGACTCCCAGCCCGGCACCGTGCGGGTTGATCCCCAACATCACTGGGAACGTTTCCACATTTCCTCCTCTTTCACCCCATAATCCACACGTGTAACCTCTGTCTCCCCCTGCTCGTCTCCCCGCAGTCCTGCCTGTGCTGCTGGTGCCAGAGACCCGCTCTGAGCATCACGCCGACGGACGAGAAGGGCTCCGTGGGCAAGTGGAAAGCCAACGGGCAGGAGCTTGGCTTGGACCGGAGCAGCTCCCGCTTGAGCAACAAGTACAGCTCTTCCTAAAGCTCCCCATGGGGCAAAGCGGAGAAGGCACTGTGAAAAGACAGCAGGACACCTCCATTTCTCTCGCACGGCCATCTCCTGGCTGGGCTTGAGTTGTTCTTGCCTCCGCGTCATAACCCACCTGGCAGGAGCTGCAGCATTTCACTGATGCCTGGGACTAGCTCTGAACACTGCCTCTGAGCTCTGCTTGTCCTTCCTCCTGTCCAAATCGCCTCTGCAGGAGGAGAGGAAGAATGGGATCCAGCCCCTTGTAGGATTTTTTCAGTTCCCTGCGGAACAGCCGAGTGACTTAGAGCCATGGGGTGGGGAGATGGGTGCGAAAAGGGAAGGAAAGTTGAGATGCTGTCACCTGGAGATGGATGTGGGATGGGGAGGAGAGGGCAAGGCACCCAAGTGACAGATTTCCAGCTGAAAAGGCCAAAAAGACATCCCTTATGATCTCCCTCTGCTGCTGGAACAGTTTGTCCCAGGGCAGAGAGCCAGGATAAGACCCAGGCACACGTAGGTCTTGTAGATGAGTGGCCTGAAATCTCCCCGCCTGTAGCCACGGCACGGAGGGACGGGCAGCAACCCAGCTTTGTGATGTGACCAACCTCACCTGGGGAGCCCTAAAGGACCCCTCCTCTTTCCCTTTTCCTGGGAAATCTGCCCCAGGTTCTCAGGAGGTGACTGCACGCACGCGACAGCACGGCTTGGGAGGGCAGGTGTCCTAGGCAGGAATCAGCGGCAGCATCCAGCCACACCAAACCGTCTGCCCCAGCTTCCCCCTCCCCAATTCCTTGACCCCACCACGTCCTGGACACAGCACCGTGACACCCCAGCTCAGATCCTCACCCTCAGGGTCAAGCTAAGGTGCAAAAGGCAACGGGGAAGGGGCAATCTCAGCTGAAAGAGCTGCTGGAACTGACCGAAACACGGCAAAGAGCCTCACAAATTTACTACTCAAAAAGATTAATCCCCAAGTGCTTTTTCCTGCATGACTTCCTAAAAATCATGCTTGTACCTCTTGCCAAAACTTCAAGAAAACCTACACGAGGAAGCTTTAGTTGCCAAGGTTTTGATGACGTCCCTGTTGTTTTTTTTCCTTCTTTTACCTCTTTCTCCTCTCCTCTTTTCCCTTTTCACCTTATCATGGAAAAAAGGGAGAAAGGAAAAAGGGAGAAGAGAAAAGACCTGCAAATAAAGCAGAACATTTTTGAGGTGATGGTGCTTGTTTTTTGATATTTTTTTTGTAGCTTTGCTTACACTGAAATGCAAGTTTTTACAAACAAATCGTATTTTTGAAAGACGAATGGGTTTCAGTGGAAACCAAAAAAATGAGGGTTATCTAGACCAGCATGTTTTCCATAACCTCACCTCCCCACTGGAGGAGATTTGTCTGTATCCATTTCACAGCACTGCTGCTGTGTGCCAGAGCTGGACAAGTGGAAGTTGATGCAGAAATTGTTCAGACTGAAGTGTTCTAACACAGGTATCTTAGCAGAAGGATTTTTTAAACGACTGTGCTTATTAAAAAAAATACCTAAATTCTGCACGTTTCTATATTTGTCCACATTTACAGGCGAAGGGATTCTGTGGCCTCAAAAGAGCACCCCACACCACTCCGAGGATGTAGCAATGGGTAAGCCAAATGGGCACGCCAAGCCTAAAGCAATGCCTCGTTCCA